CGTGAGTGTGATGTATATGGTACGGTAGACTTCATATTTGGCAATGCTGCAGTCGTGTTCCAGAGTTGCACCATTCATGCCCGAAAGCCTCTTCCTTCTCAAAAGAACACAATCACAGCTCAAAATCGAAAGGACCCTAATCAAAACACCGGCATTTCCATCCATGCTTGCAAAATTGTGGCAGAACCCGATCTCGAGAAAGAAAAGGGTGCATATCCCACGTACTTAGGCCGGCCATGGAAAATGTACTCACGGACCGTCTACATGTTGTCTTACTTGGGTGATCATATTCACCCAAGGGGATGGCTAGAGTGGAATGGAGCATTTGCACTCGACACGTTGTACTATGGAGAGTACCAAAATAGCGGTCCCGGAGCTGGAGTTGGACAGCGCGTGAAATGGCCGGGGTATCACGTAATCACTTCCACAGTCGAGGCCAGTCGATTCACAGTGCGACAATTTATTTTTGGATCGGCTTGGTTGCCTGGTACTGGGGTGGCTTTCGTGGCAGGGCTGTCAACTTAAGTTGCATGGATGATGCCATAGAACATATAATTTCTTCATATGCTATATAAATATTTATATATAGATTTTTATTTTTATTTTTATTTTTGAATAAATAGAAATGGGTTTTCCAGTGTCAAGACACTGTATGTACTTTAATTGCTCGTTTTTGAAGTGTAAAAACTTCAATCAAAATGTTAATAATATTTTCCTGTGTTTAGACTTTAGCTACCTCCATCAAAATATTAATTTATCTTAAAATTTGTGATCAGATATGCTGTCGCCTGTCTGTCAAGTGTCCATTTTGAACACCCTTATGTACAATATTATGTGCACGTGGAATAATTCATTTGAAATATGCTACAGGTATTGAAAATAATTCATAGGGGCTAGCTGTCCCCTGCTATTGGCTGCCCAAAAAAAAAAAAAAAAGGACCGAGTAATTCCAGTACTTGGGGGGACAGTTGTCCCCCTGTTATTGGCTGCCCCAAAAAACTGTAACAGGGGGACCCGTTAAGTACGGGAAATTACTCATGCTATTTCATTGCGACTTTGGAATATCCCTACTTAAGAATACCTTTCCAAATCTGCACAACGTACAAAAACATGACATCATCAGTTACATGATTAGAAACAGCAGCAAAACTAAACTGCATAGGCTACTAATGTACACATTTGAATTACTGCTCTTCGACACTATACACCCAGTAAGGTTTTATTACATTGAAAAATTCGCAAATCAAGAAAGTTTGCATACTAGGTGCATTTTAACGTTACAGTGAGTTGGAATAGAAAAACAAGATAACTACCAAGTTAAAAATTGATAATCAAAAAATTCCGCGGTCCAAACATCTCCTATAACTTGACAAACAACAGAAATGCATAAAAGTGTAA